CTGAGCTAAATCCCCAGCCCCTGTAATAGTATTAATAGTAATATATCCTTATAATACATACTTTTTATTTGTGATAAAGATATTCACTCTTTTGTCTTTTATTATTTGTTTTTTGTAATTTGCTTATTTATCTTTTCTGCCTTCTTTAATTCTATTTTTGTTTTTTGGTCAGTTTATCCAAAGGTTTGTCAATTTTTAAAATAAACTGATTTTATTTGTTTTCTCTATTATTTCTATTTTCCATCTTATCAAAGATTTATTCTTTCCTTCTTTCTGTTTTATGTTTAGTGTACTCTTCTTTTCTAGTTTTTCTAAGTGGAAGTTTAGGACATGATATGAGATCTTTCTTCTTTTTCAATGTAGGCACTCACAGCTATGAAGTGCTCTCTAAGCATTGTGTTAGTTACATTTCCATTCATTTACAAACTATGCTGTTTCTGTTCTCTTTAACCTCAAACTATTGTTACATTTCATGTGTGCTTCTTTTTTGACCCTGTATTAGTCTAACAGGACTGCTATAACAATGTACCACAGACCTGCTGGTTTAAACAACAGTGTCATAGTTTATATCTCAATATCCCAAAAGCCTCATGCCCTCATAGGTGTGGCTTTGGGGAAGTGACTGGATCATGGCTGTGATGCTAGATTAGTCCACTGATCAGTTTAGCATAGTTCTGGATGTGGATGATGAATTTATTGAAGAGAGAAGACCACCATGGGTGTGGATGACACCAACAAATAACCTCCTGCTTTCCCTGCCATGGACTGTTTCTTCTCTTCCATCCCCCTCTGCCATGACACCCTACCCTGGAATCAGCTGACTATGGAGTGAAGCCTCTACAAACTGTGAGGTAATCTGAAACATGAGAAGGCTACTCAAGTGTTCTCCGGGGAGACTGTTCCTCCTCACCCTTTGCTTCCATTGTTTACATGGGTCCTCACCTGCCTCACCTTTTTCCCAGCACTGGTACTCATTTCATCTACCTCCATCTCTTCCACAAAGACTCCTATGCTGACCTGTTGTTGATGTTGTTTGCTTTTTATAAATGTGGGTGGCAGAGGCCAAGTGTAAACACATAGACAGTTTCAGAACTCTAAATCACAAGGTGTCCAAGGTGCTCAGTAGAGAGTGCCAGCTGCCTGTGCATTGGTGCTGGACCACTGGCTGCTGAAGTCAAAGGAAAATATGTAGTGGCCTGGAGGAGGGGACTTGGCATCAAAAGAGACTCTTCCTGGAATTTAGCCCCATGGAACCACAGGTATGCATAAACAGGGAAAAAGAAATCAATGAATGCCTGACCTGTGTCTGGGCTTGTGGAAAATGATTGTGTTTCCTTTCTTTTGTCTTTTCATAGGTTCTCAGACCACTAATTCCTGTAATCAATAGCAAGGATTTGTACCAGGTATCTCAGAGATGCCAGTATTTGCTTGTTGGGTTAATGCCATTTGATCCTCTCACTCTTACAAAACCTGCTCAGGGACTCCAGGCAGGGCTCACTTCCGGGCTGGCTTTTTCACAAGGTCAGGAATTGCGAGAGCAGATCTTGAGGGAGCCCGTGGTAACCTCTGTATTACTAGTCTTTGCTTATTCAGACAGCATCTCTCAACTTCTAAAGAACTTTCACATTCGTATTCCAACAGGCAGACAGAGCTTACCTTACTTCACGGAATCTAGGAGAAATGCTGCAAATTAAGACACAATCTACCTTCGGAGAAAATCAAGTGCAGTAGTATGAACTTTTGTGAGAATCTTGGAATCAGCAGAATTTGATTTTATGCCTCTTTAACAGGCAAGATAAATTAAGGTCCAGAGGAGTTAGATGGCAAAGCCAAGCTCTGACTTCCCAGTTCCTGGTCTTCTGGCTTCCAGGTTAGTGAATTGTTTTTTATTACAAAGTCAATAACACAGGACCTAAGAAAACTTGTACAAACTGTTTACCTATTTTGGCCTTTACTTCTTACCTGTAAAATAGAAATAAGAATATGTGTCCTTCCTGGTCCATGGGGTTATTGTGAAGCTCAAATGAGAAGATGCCGTAGGCTCTCTGATTTCTTTTTCATGAACTGAGTAAGAATCTGCAGCATCTTGTGTGTTGCAGGTACTATGTGAGGCTCAAGGAGTTGAACGGGAACACATAGGGCCCCCTTGCCTGGGTGAAGATTCAAGGGTAGGACCTTGTAGTTTGTAGATGACTGTTGCATTCGGAAGCACCGTTGCTGCTGTTATGGAAGAGATCCTGATGAATGTGGATCAGTGGGACTGACAACGGGGTGTTTCATGTTTGCCCAAAAGGAACCTCTGAGTGTGCTGTCTGGATTTTTCTCAGGCCTGATGGGAATAGCTAAGCTTCTCTGATGGGAACTCTGGCCCCAATCTACCTCCTCAATGCTCCCATGCTGTGTCCCTCCCTGTTCTGTATGCAGGCCCTTGAACTTGCCATCTGTCTGTCTTATTACCATCCTTTCATCTTCTTGACTCTGTTTGGCAAAATCCTTAAGCCCCAAGTTTTCTGAATATTTTTCTAATCACATCAGACCACAGTGATTTCTTTCCTCTCAATTTCTTCAGCATGTTCCTGCAGCCCCAGTAATCAAGCATTTATTACATTCCAATTTTACTGAGAATTTCCTGTGTGTGTGCCCAGTCTTTGTACCAGGGGAATGAGCCTCAGCCCTGTCCCTCTCCCTCAGGACCTGGTGACCACGTATTGATTCACTGGTTGTTGCTTGGGTCTTCCCTTTTGTTCCACCTTTCTCACCTGGAACTCTGCATTGCATAAATGAGTGTAGCATTTTGTAAAATGGAAAACAGGATTTTTTATGGTGAAACCAAAGCTAGGGATGGTTGCAGCACCTCATCCCAGAGGCTCTCCAATTGAAAGCATGGGCCAAGTGGCCAGTAGATTTCTTAAGTTGTGTTCAGTGGACCACATCCCTCTTGACTTTTGTTGCATTTTCTCAGCACACCCCATACTCTGAATGGAAGCGATATTTAATCCTAGGGAAGCGCAAAGATGCCAGGGAAATCTCCACACTGCCTGGTACTATGATTGATGCTTGCTGAATATTTACTGAGTGAATGAATGAGAGGCAGGTTTCCGTGTAAAAGTGTAGACAAAGGAAGTGGCAGAGACAAGAAACCCAAGGGACTCACGCCTGGTGTTTCAGGGTTTAACACTTTTTTTTGTGCCTAGAAGGTATTTATACGGTTTTCTCTTACTTCACTCAAGCCTATTTAAATAGTATCTCAGCAGAGTACCTCTCAAGACCACATCTTAGAGAACGTCTCCCATGGCTCTGTCTCTCCAGTCTGCTTACTTTTCTTCATAGTACTTGTCCCTAACCAAAGGTCATAGTCTATGCGGAAACACCGTCTGGGGTGTGCAGCTCACAACCTACATACTGAAAGCCATCTTTAGCCAACATGTATATCTATTGCTTCATTTGTTCATTGTCTCTCACTGCTAAACTCTAAGCTCCATTAAGACCTTCTGTCGTTATTGTTGCTGTTCATTGTATCTGTACTATTTGTTTACTTGTTTGTTTCTGATACAGGATCTCACTTTGTAGTTCATGCTGGTTTTGAAGTGAGTAGATACTGAAGTGAGTATATACATGTTGGCCTCAAACTGGAGGCAATCCTCCTGCCTCAGCCTTCCAAGTGCTGGGGTTGTAGATGTACACCACCATGCCCAGCTTATCTCTACTGTTTAAAACAGAGTTTGTCACAAAGTAGGTGCTCAATCCAGATCTGTTGGATGGATGGATGGATGGATGGATGGGTGGTTGAGTGGAGAAGATCTGAGACAAATTTCCAGCTCCTTGTCTTGACTCCATACCATACTGCTCTTCTCTTTGCATTTCTTATCCAATAATGGAAAGAAGGATTCTAGAAACATGCCCCATGCATCTGCATCATGTTAGAGCTTATAGGACATTAGTGATCATCTTATGCAAACCCTTTACTTACCTGTGCAGAAACTAGAGCTCTGAAAGGTCACCTAACCAATTCCTGAGCTCATGGCAGAGCTGCCCAGAATTTAGACTCTGATGATCAGCCCAGTGTTCATCCATTCTGCACTGCCAGTACCAACAGCCCAAGAAACAGAAGGTCAAGTTTCTCTAAAGTACAAAGCAGACCTGTAGTTTGGATCAAAACTTTATTTTCTAGTCAGGTGGTTGCAGTTAATTTTTATGGCCTAGAATTGTTTTCCATCTACTTCAACAATTGAGCACAGGCCATATCCACATTGTTGTCTTAACCAGGACCTACTGGTAATAAACACTGACCTATATACAAGCAAACTTCATGGTACCAGGATCTTCCTAGGAAGCAATCAGGATACTTATAAATGATGCCTGCTAGATGGAATTTTTTTTTAAAAAAATCACTAAAACCCCAGGCATTGCATAAGCAGGTAGACACAGAGCAGTCACCCTGCCAGGCCACTACTCTGACAACCCATGCCAGGCCCTGTAAGTCCTTACAGATCATCATAGAAGAGCACAGCCCAAATATGTTCAAATCCTTCAAGTCTTTATTCAGGGCAATTGTGTGCCTAACACTAGGCATCAATGTAGCTGTAGAAATTAGACTAAAACTTTTACCAGCTGCACAAATCTTTAAGGTACAACTGTAATGGTGTTAATGCAGGAAAAAGAGTACAGAAAGGGCTGGATAACTCAGAGAAGATTTTAAGAAGGAAAAAGTAATTCCACTGAGCTGGAAGAATAGATAGCACTCACTGAGGAGAAATACCTTCAGAATATGGGCAAAAGTAGAAATGAATACAAAGCCATGGCAGTAAGACTGGTCTAGGACTTAGATTTCAGGTATGTTTTCTGGACAGCCACAGTTCCAGTGGAAAGTGTGGATAGGAGTAGATTATCATGACTAGAAGAGGCATATTTTGGGGGTGAGAACTGAAAAAGAGGAACGTAGGCATAATGCTATAAGGGGCAAATACTTGTGGAAAGATAGCAGCAAGTGACCTGCATACTAAGAAGTGGCTATGGGCTGGTATGAAGGGAACAGAAGTGACAGTTGAAGGCACCGAGGGATGAACTGGGGAGGAAAGTTTGACCAAGGACGAGAAGCATACCTCTGTACCCAGGATGCTCAACTTTGGGGCTCCCCAAATACATGCTGTGTTACATAGGTAGAGTCTAGCATTTAAACTATCAGATTCTAAAGCTTCCCTCAGAGCCTCGTCTTGTCACTCATAACTCAGAAGGTTGGAAACTTTTTCCTTTGATTTAATTTAATCCTTCCCGTGGCCACTTACTTTCTCCATTCTCTGTATCCAACCGTGAAGGGAAAGGACATGACCTGTACTAGCAGATATCCTAGAGTATTCCTGGAGTGGCATCACTGGTAGGGATCTTTGAAACCATGAACTACCTTTTTTCTGTGTTCTTTTTTAATTACTACAGAGTCACTATACTGAATATTGGATTAAATTGTGATATTTTTACCTACATACATAATATGCTTTGACCTTCTCCATTTCCCATTACGCTTCCTTATTTCCACTCTCCACTCTCCTGCTCCCTTTTCTCTTGTCTAGTAGTCTCATTTCTATGTTCTGTTGGCTTTTTTCACCTTGATTCCACATATGAGAGAAAGATGTAAAACTTGTTTCAGGCTGACTTATTTCATTCAAAGTGATGATCTCTGGTCCCATACACTTTCCTGCAAATAAAATTATTGTATTCCTCTTTATGACTAAATAATATGCACTTGTGTTTGCATATACCACATTTCCTCTGTCCAGTCATCAGTTGATGGGCATATAAGCTGGTTCTGTATCTTGGCTATTGAAAATTGTGCTATGATAAACGTGGGTGTCCCTATAGTGTGCTGACTTAAATTCCTTTAGGTGTAAACTGAGGTCTACCTCCTTCTCCTAAAGAAGATTCTTTAGAAGGTTCACATAGCACCTGGGACTAGGATTTCCTGGCATCACCTATCCTGTCATTCCAATTGCTTGTTAATTAGGAGTCTGGCTTTTCCTTCTATTCCCATCAACTCTTGTTTTAGTCACTTTCTCATTGCTGGACCAATACGCAACACCCCCAGCTTAAAGGAAAAGAAGTTTATTCTGAGTCACGCCTTTGTCCACAGATGGCAGCTCCAAGGCAAAAAACTAGGGTAGAAGGGTCTGGTGGGGAAATCTCCTTATATCATGGCAGTCATGAAGCAGAGAGAGAGAGAAAAAAAGAGGAAGTGGGGGGAGACATCTGCCCTTCTGGGTTTTGCCCTAGTGCCCGCCTCTAACCAGGCCCTAATGGTCAGCTATAGCACCTCTGTAGTTCAATCACCTTCCAAAATCCCCTTTGCTGAACACATGAGGCTCTTGGGGGGAAATCTAGATCCAAACCATAACAAACTCTGGAGAGAGAGCTTCACCAGTTCTCATTAGAAGCAGTCAAAATGCAAACTTTCCTGAATGGTTTACTGGGTGGGGGAACAAAGAAAGGAGGCACTGACCTGTCTGAGTGTCACTAATATACCATTGAGTTTACAAGCTTTCGTGTTTGTTTCCAGATGCATTATTCTGTGTGTGCACACACCTGAAAATATGACCTCATTCTCCTTTTGGCCTTTGACAGGTTCCAAGAGCTGAACAACTCCCTGTCAAAGTGACTGTGAGCGCAGCCTTCATAACATCATTACTCATACTGATGCATGGCTCGGCAACCTTTCTTCCTCATCTTCAGCTCCAAAGTTGTCCTCCTTCATCCTGGCTGCCTGGAATACATATGCATGAACCTTGGGTCCTCTTCTTTTCTCTAATACTTTAATTGCAGGTGAAACCACAAGGAACAGTTTCTCATAGTAAGTGCACTTCAAACATGCCCACTCAGCTAATTCCCACCAGCTTAGGGTTTGGGTTTGGGAGATGTACAGATATGGTCAGAACGTATTTATATGCCATGGATTTCTTTCTCCACTTGTACCTAGGACACTGATGAGGGGAATTCCTTGTTTCATCTCAGGGAAGTTCAGCTACTGTTATTTTCTTTTGATTTGTCCAACTTTTCCCTTCTTTCCATTCTGGCACCCATTGCTCCCTGTTGGTCAGTATATAATAGGAAGCAGAATGTGCTTGCACACTGGAAACTTACAAATATGCAACCCATTTAGTATGGAAACTTGCCTGAGGGCAGAGACCAGGCTTTCTCAGTGACCTGGCATAGGACACACCCATGCAGAGCTGCTTTAGTCTAGAACTCAACCTGCAGAGTCTGTTTTCTCCATTAGTGGGGATTAGCTATGCAAAGGTACAGAATCCGTGGCTGTCTTCAAGACCTGCAGAGAAGGCATTTTCAGGCTGCCCTGCTCTTCTGCTTTAAGAGTTTATGGAGAGAAAAATTCTTTCCCTTACTTAGAGAACCTTGGTACTGGAAGAGGTCATATTGTTAAAGAGGCAGAGGGCCACAAAAACCAGTTCTGTGGCTCACACAAGTCTAGCATCAGTGGACCTATCATAGGGAGCTGGCTCTTTCTCAAATACACATTTTTCAGGTAGGAATCTGGAACATAGGTTGCTAGTCTATGTCAGAGGTCTTGGTGGAGGCATTACATGGTTCAAGCACATGGTGTTGTGTGCAAAGTCTTATGGTGCTGTCTCTCCATGAATACTTATTTGTCTCTCAAGGCAAATAAATCTTATCACATAGCCTCATTGGATTGAAAAGATACTTACAAAGTCACCTGATGTTTATTTCTCCATCTCCAGGTAAGACCACAATTTCCCAGTGATCATTCACTTTTTGTTCCAGACATATTTGAATCTGATACTGAAGTCACCGTCCTGGACAGGGTTATATCATCTGAGTTTGATTTCAAAAGCACAGCAGTAATAAAGAGATGATGCAATTTTTAAAAGCCTATGATTAACTAGGCATTTCTCCAAAGAAGATATACAATTGTCCAATAGCACATTGATGCTTACATCATTAGCTAACAGGAAATGTAAATCAAAAACACAAAAGATCCATCTTATATCCACTAGGATGGCTATAATGTCTTGGTTATTTTTCTCTCATTGCTGAGACAAAATACCTGAAGCTGAAAATTAAAGAAGGAAAGGTTTATTTAGCTCACAGTTTATAGATGTTTCAGTCTATAATCAGCTGGATCCAAAGCAGGGTGGTATGACAGAGGGGCAAGAGTTGAAGGCAACAAAAGACAGCAAAAGCAACAAGAGCAAAAAAGCAGGGAGAGCAAGCCTCTTTTCGTTCCTTATATTGTAACAGGCTACCTGTCCTTGGGTGAGTGTAGCGTTCACATCATTTCTGTGCCCTCCTCTTGCACAGGGTCAGGATGTTTACAAAGTGAGGACCCTGGCCTCCTGCTGAGTCACTCAGTTCAACTTTTAAATTTCTGAAGTTGACACAATAAACAACATCCTAGAGCAGTAAGGGCATGTCCTCTACACACTAGGATGTAGAACTGCTGAGTTACTTAGTAAAGCTTCTAGACTTCTAAAGTTAAAACAATGTGTCAACCATAACATATAATTTTTTAAAAAGCTAGAGGATAGTGTTGGTGAAGATGTGGAGAAACTGGAACACCTATACACTGCTGCAATTATTTTCAAATGAGGTAACTGATTAGGAAAATGCTTTGGGAATGTCTCAAAATTTAAACACTGTTGTCACATAATCCAATAATCCACCCCCAGGTAAACACAGACAAATAAATATACATGTCAACACAAAAATATGTATATAGATGTCCATAGCACTATTATTCAAAAAGTAGAAGCAACTCAAATGTCCATCAAAGGATAAGTAGATGTTTAAAATATACTATACAATGGAATATTATCTGATCACAAAAAGCAATGACACATACTATGGCACATACAAATCTTAACAGCATTATTCTATCTGAGAGAAGCTTATCCTCAAAGACCACATATTATATGATTCCATGTATATGAAATGTCCAGAGTAGGCAAATCCATGGAAACAGAAAGCGGATTTGTGGTTGCACGGGTCTGGGTGGAATGGAGAAAAGGGGAAGAAACTGCTAATGGGTGTAAGGTTTCTTTCTGAAATGATGAAAATGTTCTGGAATTAGATAGTGGTGACGGCTGTACAACTGTGAATATGCTAAAAACCACAGAATTGTGTACTCTCAGAAGGTCAACTATATGATCACAAATTGTATCTCAATTTTTTGAAAAGATCACCACAGGCATAAAAACACACAACATGAGAAAAATAGGCAATTTAAAGTAACCAATAGATTCATCATAAAATACTTTATTTTTTCAAAAGTGTGAATGAATATATTCCCCAGCTAAATTTATACATTCTGTAGTGCTGCATATAAAAGTCCTGCAGTGTGACTTGCTGAAACTACGGCCCACTCCAAGAGCAATTTCTAACAGGACCTGCATACGACTTCTGTACATCTTGTATAGCCTGTTCTGATAGGCAGCACAGATAGCCCCATCCCAGGGCTTTCATGGGTCATTCTTCTTTCATCTCCACCTCACTGAAAGCCAGGCTTCCTAGCTTCTACTGCATCCCTCTCTGGCAATGAGGTGCTGCGAGCTGCTGAAGGAGTTAGCATTGAAGAGTCTCCCAGCTGCAGGTGGGGGATGAGATTAGTTTTCTTTGTGTCCTCCAAAGGTGATTGGTCAAAGGGAGGTGTCAGAATGGGGTTCCAGGTCTCTGATTCCCCATGAAGCCCCTGACGTTACTCTAATAAGTGCTTAGAGCACAGGAAATAATTCTGGCAGCAGCAAGGAAGCCTAACAATGGCTCCTAGGAGGGGTGGTGTACTTGACTTGGAGAGCGACTGATCAGCCAGCATCTTGATCGCCTGTTACCTGCTTGGGCTCAGCCATGTTAAGAAAGTGGGGATTCTCCACCTGCTTGAATTTCACAATCGCAAAAGTTGTTAGAGACCATTCAGTGCAGGCTATTTCAAGTCTTACCTCTTAGATCCAGCCCTTCATTACCACCCAGCCTCTAATAGCTTTGACAGAGGATTGGTTGGGTTTCACGTTAGTTGACCAGTCCTGAAATGTCTATAACACAAGAGGTGATTGAAAACTATGGTAGATGTTTACATTTTTAAAAATCTATTGCATTAAAAGACACATTTGCCTTGTATATATTTTTAAAAGTTAAATTTAAAAACACAGCATATGTTTTGATCACATCTTGTATATTAAGCTGAAGTGTACACTGGGATCCCTAGGTCCTCTGACTTACCTTCCCCATATCAGGAATCTGAAGTGCAAGATCCAGCACCACTTTTCCCCCATGAGATCTTGCATCAGACTTGTCTTCAGTTCTTTCATATGTGCCCTTTGTTTTTTGGACTAAAGGGTCAGACTGACACTTTTCTTATTGGGACCCACAATGTCAGCCAGTTTCTTGCACTCTCTGCTGATAACCACTTGGTTAAGAGGTTTGATGATGCCAGTGTGAGGACAGAACACTGGTCCTGTTTTTAAATATCTCTGTTTGGAAATCAGGATCTACAGGATGAATCTCAGAACTACGAGAAACGAGCACACAGAAAAATACTCCATTCGTGCAAGCCCAGGCCCTTCCTCCTCTGAGAGCATTGTTTCCTGGTCTTGCCATCTTCAGATCTTGAGCCAAGAGTCAAGCAGTACTGATTTGGGGCAAGCTAAAAGTTTCCAGGCAGAGTTGGGTAGAAGAGAGGAAAGGTAAGAAATGATAAAGGTTGTGGGTAACTTACTGAAATGTCTGCTTATCTTTGGCTACCTTTCTGTTCTGGAGTTTTGTAGGATGTGTCTCCTTCCAATTCCCCTTATTTGTTCTTTCTTGTTTACTTGTTTAGTTTTTGCACAAGTTTCTCTTGCTTATAATTGTTCTGTCATCAAAAAGAATCTAAGGGTAGAGTCATAATTATACTAATGGTACAAATTGTGGAACTTTAGGCTAGACATATTCAATCAGTTGTTTAAAGCTACCCTACACTGTCATACTAAACAGTCATTGAAGAAATGTTGAATTGTTGAAGCCTTAAGGTGTCCCAGAGCCTTTAAGAATAGGCAAAGGAACCCTAATATATTAGGATAAAGATGAGAAGGCTAACAGTATTTCCAAAGATACCAGATGTTTTATGAAAATAAAAAGCAGTTATTCTGGTTAAAATAAGAATTCACAGAAGCCATCAAGATCACCAAGTGCCTGACTCTTCTGTAATGTTGTGTGCAGCTTCTGGCCTGGAAGAACTTCAAATAAGAGTAGACAGCCAATGCTTGGAAGACATTCACTCAACATCCTCTGGGCTTCTATTACATATTTAGCAATGTGCTAGATACACAAGAAATGCCCTACCCATAAGAAGCTTAAAGTTTCATTAGGGATATGAATAAAATCATTAGCTAACAATATAAGGCAGCCTGTAATTAATTTTTCAAAGGTGTGGTAACTCTATTGTAAGAATGCAGTGAGTATAAAATTCAACTTAGTCTGGAATTTTGGGGAAAGGCTGCAAGAACAAGTTTAGACTTGAAATCTAAAAGTATGAGAAAGATTTTAGTAATCTCAAGTGACAGAAAGATAGGAAGAGAAACATAAAAGGTCTTAGAGGAAGTATTTTAGGATACCCTACAATTTCACCCCCCAAAACAGTAGAATTAACACGTTTGGCATGAAACAATAATTTTAGTCATTTTGCCTATAATCTTTCTTTCTTGCTTGTTTTTTCTGATCCTGGGGATGGAACCTAAGGACACTCTACCATTAAGCTGCACTCTTAGCCATTTTCACTTTTAATTTTGATCCTCTACTTTTTCTCCAACAATTTCCTTCATGTTTGATTCTACTCTGGCCCTGCTTCCATGAAATTCCGCCTCTGAAATTTTAGTACAAGTTTATAATCCTTCTCTCTGCCATGTATGGTTTCTTTTATTTTGTATTACCAAAGATTTATATAAATGATTTATATCATTTCATTTAAAATTTTTACATTCCCAACTGGATGATAATCCTGTTACAGACAAAGACAGTTTCTGATATGTGTTACTGTGCACCCAGAGTCTGGTGTAATATGTCAGATTTCAAGTTTTATTAAGCACTTGTTAAATGGACCAGGCAGAATCTGGACATCACCTCTGGCTCTAGCCTTCTGGCTGCTGCTCAGTCTTTAGCTCCTATTCCCTATCCCAAGGCTGGGCTCAGAGTGAAGCAGGTGGTTCGCATATGCAAGAAGAGCTGAAGACAAGACCCAGCTCTGTTCAGAGGTTGCTTCTCTTGTTATTGTTGCATCAACCATCTCAGTTTTGCTCCTGCTAGGTAACACATCACAAGCCCGAGCATCCAAATCTCAAGTAGGAATTAGGTAAGGTCATTAAGAAGTTCTCCCTGTTTCTTCATCATCTATGAGGCATCTTTGTAAAGTGCCCAGTGAATGACAAAGAGGAGAGCCGGTTTGCAGACCTCAGAGCCCTGTGGAGCCCTTTGGGTATGACTTACACTGTTCCATTGCACCTCTGTGGCTGGTCTTCTTATGTCCTTTGCAAATCAAATTTTTTAAGGTGAGAAGGGAGCCAGATGCTTCTGATATACTTTCTTCTAGGTACTGTATAAAAACTAGAATACTATGGTAAAATGAAAAATTACTTTCTGGTCTCCATTACTTCCCTGGATTTGGGACTTAACTTATTTGGTTCTCCTGTGAATATGATTGTAGATCACTAAGGCTATGCAGACTCAGCCCCTGGGCATAAACCCAGGCCCTTGGCATAAACCCAGCTGAGATGCAGAGGTATTACTAGCTCCCAGGGCATAGAGTCTGGGGAAAAACCATACTTTGAGTTCACAGAATACTGTGAATATGTGCTTGGTATTAGCTGTATGCCCCTTGCACAAGTTATTTATACCAAGTCTCAGTTTCCTCATTAGTAAAATAAAAAAAAATAGTGTAAAACTGGGTGGTTGGAGAGATTAGATGAGATCATCTATATACGAATATGTGTGCACAGCAAATGGGCAGAATAAGTGCTTGATAAAAGGAAGCTATTATAATTATTATCATTCAATGCATTCTGATGCATCATCCCTGCTCAGTTCTGCCCAAGTGATTCTGACTTGAATAGGGCTTGGGTAGAAGAGAGAGGAAGGGATGGGTCTAGCTATGCAGCAGGGTAGTGGTTGGTTAAGGGAGGCATGCATAACCTGAGAAAATTGCAGTGCCATGGTGTGTCCCACCCCAAACCAGGTTGGAGATGATCTGACAAAGATGAATCATAAACTGGAGCCACATGTGAGGCTCATGTCCCAGAAAAACCCTGCTTCCCATTAGACCCAGCAGGTTGCTGTCACAGGAAAGGATTTACCAGTTACACATTTGAGTGTCCTCTCTCTTCTTGGTCTTTGGACTCAGCGAAAGAGCTGGGACCACTCTGAGAGCTTCACCTTCTTCCCAGTACAGGAGCCAATCATCACCAATGCCAGGTACACCTACTTGGACCTACTAGTAAGTGGCTCCATGCCGTTCCAGCAGCTTCTGCCACATCAGGGGGTGCAGCATATCAGGGATGGATTGACTTGGGAAAATTACATATTCACTCTCAGAGCGTGGTTTGGGAGGGTGCAAAAATCCTTTCTCAAACCACCTTGTCATTCATCCACCAGGAAGGCAGCCATTGCACCATCCTAGAACCTTTCCTTAGCATCACAACCTTGTAAAATTACACACACTTATGGAGGAGGTAACATTTTAGGTCAAAATCATCTTTAGTCCCTTAATGTGAAATAGTTCTCAGGGATTTCAATCATTAGAGAAATTAGGAAAGAAAGAAATTATGGGACTAAGCAAAGCAGAAACAAGGGGGGTATATAGCACAGCTGGGGCCCTGGGTACAGAGTGGGGAGCCCAGGGCCACTGAGCAGCAAGAGCATGGTAGCTTCAGGAGAAATCAGCTGAAAGGAAGATGGGGAGAGCGTTTCTGACCTCTCCACCATTCTGCCCAAATGCTGGGAATCATTCTTTTTGCCTTGTCTAGAAGTGAAAAGTCAAGCACAGAGACATAAGGCAGGGCCTTATCAAAGAGAGAACACATGTAGCAGGATTAAGTCCCGTGGACATGAATAACTCAACCAGGCCGGCACTAGTATCGTCCCTATCTGCTCTGGAGGGACTGATCCCACAGGCTGAGACATAACCTCACCACCAAAGCCAAAGTATGTCATGGAGCTTTTAATAACCCTGCCTGTCCCTGCCTCCCCCACAAAGGGGAACAGCTGGCCTCACCCGCCCTGCTTCTCATTGTCACTTTCCCTTCTGTGTGATTGCAGGGCATTGTTTTCCAATGGGTGTCCCCACGCTGAGAAGCGTGCTTCAGAGATGTGAGCAGTAATCATTTCATAATTTGTGTCATGCTATTGTTGCTGGGATTGTCTCTCTACGTGATGGTGACAAAAGGCAGATGGAAGATTCAGCCTAATTAGGGGCCCACCAAACTCTTCACCTGCTGTGCTTTCAGTGCCACCCATGTTTCCCTGGGCCACCCAGGCCCTGCTTCACCCCCTATCCTCCATGCAGGACAAACTTGATAACATCTGTGAGAACTCAGCCCAGTGGTGCAGGCCAGAGCTGCATTGGGGACTTTTTTCAGTGCTTCTCTGCTCGCTTATGGCTATCAAAGCAGTGCGCTGGTGACATTTATCTGGGAGCAAGTGTAAGCCAACTATTAATTTCCAGGAACTGTGTCAGTCGGTTGACAGCAGGTTGGCAGTTTGCAGTGGCCACCACAGGGGCGTCTACCCTTTGGGAGCAGCAGACACTTTCAAATAGTGCACAGCCCTGTCTCCCCTCCAGAAGGCCTGCTCCTCCCTGTGGCTTCTCCAGGTTTCCTCCTTCTACCGTCTTCCACACTCTACTTTCCCAAGTTGTTGGCCTTTCTTTGGTGCTTTCAACTAGCTCTGATTAGAAAGAATCTAATAAAGCATTTCCTGCTGTTGTATTCATAAAGGGCAACGACTGCTACTTCTCTGGTGAGATCTGCAGTTTAACTCAAGGCAAAATCCTAAACCAAGGGAATAACTGTAGTTTTTTTGGTGGTATTCTTAGTAGCTTAGGTTGAAGAGCTCCCTAAAGCCACCACTCCCTTGGAAGTCCTCTCAGTGTGCTGGGTTGCTAGCAAGATCATGTCATTTACCTGCTTGGAATCATGTCAGGGTGGCTATCCTGGAGGTATCGATCACGAGGTGAGCCTTCTTCATATCTTTCCCATAGAAGGCACACACTTATGACATGTTTCCAAGTGTGGGTGCCTCCATACTCATAGTGTAAGAATTGTTTTAGAATCTTAACTATTTCTTTGAAATGCAATGTCTATGTCTTTAATTAAGGTCCCCAAGAAGTAGAATCATGCTGAGGAGGTAGGTCTATGCTGGTTTAATCCCTGAAACCATCTAGCCAGGCACTCAGGATGTATTTGTGCATCTGGCTGAAAAAGAGAAGCCACCAATCTCTACAAAGAGGCACATACTTTTATATAGCAAGTTATTTGACTCAAAATCTTGAGCTATCTTAATTTTCTTTACTTTTATTTCTAATCAACTCTTTAAACCTCTTTTAGGTTTTTTCTGACTTCACTTGAAATTCTCTTTGCCTGAGCAAAAAGTCCAAACTTTGGCAACGACCTGCCTAGAAAAGCAGTATTGTGTCCACTGTTGCTGAGTCCTTGCTCGC